ACCTATTGGTTCCAAAGATGGATCAAAAATATGTATGTCTTGGCAACAAAATCATATCTTAATACCATTGTCTGGGTATTCACATGTAGAATAGGACCTGTTTTTGTGTAGTTTACTTTGGATACTCTTCTTTGTTCATTCTAGCTTTCTGTTGTGAGCTAAGTTTTTAAATCATGATATAAAATTTTGTTTTTTGAGATTACATAAAACTTGTAGTGCAGAAAAGGAGTCTACTGTTGAGATGATAACAGAGCTGAGAATGCAACAAAGACTAGGAGAGGCTCTCTCCTCAAAGGCTCTTGCTAGCTGAAGTGAGAAATACACATGGATTTGATCAGTTCTTAAAAGTGAGAGGTTGAGGGACAGATAGGGGTAACCGTGGTTGCTTCATCAAGTACTCAGTGTCATAATATTAAGAGTATATAAAATCTTGTTTTTCGAAGAATATTAATGAATCTAAGGAGAAAAATGAAGGTTCAAACATTTGCTTTAAATAAAAAAAGTAAAATAATTATCACACAGGCAAGAAGTGTGTTTTTTTTTTTACCATAGTATTGGCCAGCTTCTGTGTAAAGCTGGGAAAGTCTGGCTGCTTTAGTGGAGAGAGAGAATTTATTAAACTTCTTCAAGTCATAAGGACAATTAAGATTGTCTTCTTACGCAACAAAAAACATTAGCATTGTGTCTAAACCACACTTTCAAATCAGACCAAAGTCCTAGTACAGAATCTTAAAGGAGGATTAATACTAACAATCCTCTACCTCTACTACATTTGGGTGTTGTCTATACACCCCAAGCAAAGAGAAGCTGTTTAGAATGCTTACTGTGATACGTAACTTAGCCCTAAAGTGAGGATTAAGAAGTCCACGAATACTTGGATCCTATACTCAAAAGCTTTAACTAAGTGTATTTTTTAATATTCTTGAATATACACAAATAGTTTTCAACTGCTACATATTCTGTCTTCTGATTCCTAATGTAATATTGCACTCTATAGACAAATGAGAAACTGAAAGCATTAGTATAACTGCGATATATTTTTGCTGTAACTTAGAAGGTAACTTAATGGATGTTATTGAGCTTGATTTATTTGGGGGTGGGGCAGTGTTGAACATGTGGTGTTTGTTGCAGTTTTAGAATTGTTTGTTTTCTACGTTTTTACGTGAAAATGAAGGTTCCCATGGTCAATTCAGACTTTCAGAAGTACTTCAACATGCTTTTAAGAGCGCTAACACTAATTTTAGTTATTTAGTTATGTTACCCACCAACTGCACGAAACTTCGTAGGGTTGTATTTATTTTATTATCTTGAAACCACTATAGCATCCACAGAACGAAGAAGCGTATTTTACTGGTCTACTGGTGCTAAAAGATCGTTAGTTTCATATACAGGATCTATAATAGGACACCTTAGTTTGATATCGCCTTTCCTTTAACGTCCCAGACCAAATATGTCTAAAGAACGCTTACAGGACAGGATCGAATACTGTAGAAGCTCATATGCATGTCATGTGATTAATATTATAAGAATACTTATTAAAGTGTTTTTGAAATACTTCTCTTCTCTTTGCATAACTAGTCTTTCATGTGAATATCGCGTCCTCAAACATTTTGCTTTTATACGAGGTTTCCTAATCTTTCTTTTTTTTGCCAGCGCCGTTATCAATATGTGCTTGAAAAATAATGTTAACCATGAAACAATGAATTAGTTTTAATCTAATTTTCATGGAATTAAATATTGCTGTTGGAAACCAGAAGTATACGCCTTTTACAACAAGTGTATGTACATGTATTCTCTGCTTGATACAGCATATCTTCTTCAATAAAAATACTGGTATTCTCAACACGCATTGTTAAATGAAATTCCTCTCTATTCATTATAAGGGGGGGGGGGAGATATTAATTGTGCCATCAAGCAGAAGTCCGGGTGCGGGGTGGATATTTAGTTACGCACACGCTCATTCTTCACTATATACTATATTGTTCACCAGCAAGAACGTTTTTTTTTTTATTATTTTTGTTTGGCGGAGACTTTTTTTTTTTTCCAACAGCTTAGAAATAGTTGAGAAAGTTCAACCGACTTGTACTAGTGGTGAAATGAATAATTATGATAACTGTTATTTTCATTAGTAACAAAATCAGAAATATATTGCAAAAAATGACTTTTTGCCAGCGTTTAAATATACTTGTTGTAAATACACACAGTCATATTCAGGTTTGAAAGCAATAATGTCTAGTTTATTTATAAGCACGGAGCTAAGTATTATTTTTTTCTGCTGAATCAGTATCGAATATTTTGAAGTGATAGAAACAAAACATTTATGTTGGTAATTACTGTTATTTGTGGTAGAACAGTTGCGTGGGTTTCATTTCAATATTAATTTGTCTTAGCAGAGTTGCACAGTTTTGTTCTCTAAAACTTGTTTTTTCGCGGTACACTTGATTTTTTTATTTTGTGCATCACAATTTGATCTATACATTATATCGTAACTATTCAACATTTTCACCAACCATCTGAAGGGCGCTGCGGACCACAGATTGAGAACCGCTGCTCTAAACCATACATGTATATATATACTGACATGTGTCTTAAGAGTAGTTGTATTCGCTTTTGTATATTAAAGATATACAATCATATATATTTGAGTAACTATATTCGGCTTAAATTACGACAATGATATATATATATACCAGCGTGTCTTACAGAAGTTGTACACGCTTTCTTATAAATATGTAAGAGCAATCTTATGAGTTAGAACAGTTTTATTCTTCTTGGTATAATGAAGATTGACAGTTTTTCAGTTAGAACAGACACACATACTGATGTGTAATGAGCAGATGTACAAACCTTCCTACTCTAGAGCATACTTACACTGCCCTGGGATTTACACACACATTGGACGTGTAAACACGTGACTTAAGGCAGTTTTATTCAGTTTTTGTATCTTAAAAATGTTTCCTTGGTTTGAAAATTTTGTGCATAATTCTGAACTGATAGATTAGACAAAAGGCGAAAAGTGAACCGCACCCACCGACAGCTCTTGGCTACTCTTGTCTGACCGAATTGTGAACGATTGGAGGAATTATGCTTGCTTTAGATTTTAAACTTAATGTAAACTAATCATGTTTTATGAAAGTGTACACATTTTGTTATTCATTTGTCTTTTAGAGCAAGTGTGTTCTTGCTTTTCTTATATAATATAAAGAAGATTAATACGTACTTGTACCTAAACGCTCATTTAAATCTCCGTATTAAAAAAAACAAAAAACGTTTAGCATCTGCTCTCCGCCTGTAGAATAATTACCTGAGGTGTACACAAACCGAATAAAGACTGAGTGTTCTAGCTTTAATACGCAATCATTATCACACTGCTATCAATACTGAAACTGTATGTAAGGTTTTATATGGAAAAGCACCCCAGAAAAATGGAGAATGCTAACAAGTTGTTGTTGTTTGTTATTAAGCACAGTACATAACAAAATATCTGCAAAATAAATTGTAAAATACAACGATTAAACCAGCCACATTCTCTCTATCTGCATCCGTCCAAGTATTCCATCCTCAAAAATATTTAAATATGGAATAGGAAAACCCATTTGGTCTACAACTACTTCTGTTCCATCTATGATCACAAGACTTTCCTGGATCTCTCCAACTATATCATTACCTCTTCAAGTTCAAAAACATCACCCGATTAATGAGCCAGCATATTATGACAGAAAGGTACCGTGGGAGGCATATCAGGATCAGTTCAAAATACTTTTGAAAGTGAATAGATGAAATAGTGAATACGCTATGCATTATTTTTGCCAAATATAAAAACAAACCCGCCTAATGATAGAAACTGTTACAACTATATCCATATATTATGAATGGAATACAATATATAAAGCTTTAATATAACTTTCAGGAAACAACTCGAAGGGTGTAACAATCCTGGAATTTGTCAATAAGAACATTTAAACATAAAACACAGGATTGTTTGTAATTAAGCACAAAGCTACATAATGGACTATCAGAGCTCTGCTCAGCACAGGTATCGAAACCCGGTTTCTAGCGGTACAAGTCCGCAGACATATCGCTGTGCCACTGGGGGACACTAACAAGTTATTTCAGTAGTCCATACATGTATGTTTGTGATACCCTATGATTGAAATAACTAATATACTATTGTTGTACAGAGTTGTTTAAATTGGTAATATACGTTAACAATACGTACCTACTCTGCATGTAGATAATACAGTAATTTACTATAATAAATCATACATATTCATGCTAATTTAAGACTAGCTCTCAATGCAGTGTAACAACAGATTGATAGTTTGTTGACTTTTCATTGCAAGTTTGTGGATTTTATGTGAACAGCCATACAATGGTCCCCATACCCCCTCCCCCGTAGCGTTAGCATGGTTTGCATTCCGATTGTTCTTCGCACGATATGTGTTGGCTTTTGATCTCGCATATTAAAATTCTCTTTTCAAACATTCTGCGTACGAGCCTGATACATAACAGTTATCATCACAGATTCAATCAGACAATAACTACGTTTTAAAGGAAACAAAAATATTATCTTTCACTTGTTCCCCAGTGGGACAGCGTTAAGTTTCGGACTTACAACAACAAAATCTGTGGTTCGATTCCCTGCGGTGGACATAGCAGACGGCCCAGTGTGGCTTTGCTCTCAAACAAACGCACAATCTTTTCACTTTTTTGGCACTTGTATTTCCCCATCAAAGTTTTAGGATTGTGATTTCCAGAAGAAAATAAATGTAAAAAAAACAACAACAACTAAAATAACTGTTGCATTGCCAAGAAGTAGATAGAGGTATGAAAGATGTTGACATGTGCTTGTCGTCGGCAGCTTTGCATGGGTAATCAGGATGTGGGCTTTTAGTTGGCCTATAGAACGAAGATTGGAAAACTGCTTTCCTTTATGTGTATATGTGCGTGACTATGTATATCATCATAAACAGTGAAGTAATCGTAGTCTAGGACACGAAGTCCACAGTTGTCTCGTGTTGCGCGCACAAGTTTAGCGCGATCGCTACATTATAAAACTTCGTACGTTATTGGGTTAGAAATATGAGAGACAACTGTCATAATATCTAGATATGAGGCGACGTAGCGAACAGCAGCAAACCTTTAAACATGACATTTGCTTTGTCTGTTGTTTCGTCACAAACAAAGTTTGATAGCGACGTGCACCAAGAATAGAGGTTCCTACCAGATATATATGAGGCTGTTTGCCAGAGAGTATTGTTTGTCAGTTAAAACTAAACTATGCCCTTTTGGTTTACAGTACTTTCAAACTAGTGAACTATTCTTCCTAGCTGGTGTCACAAACACGTTTGTTGTATTTCTATAGTTCTAAGTTGATTTTAAACTTCCTTGTTGGTGTATGCAGCATGCAGTTTCCGGTTTTATGTGTTGATACGTGTACATAACGTGGCGACATCACCGGCTTGGTGGTATCCTACTCGTACAAGTACGCCACACGGTTCAAACTAGAATGGCGATGGCAACTTTCTCCGGGAACATCGAGAGATGGAAGAGGAAGAAAGCCGAGAGCCAGTACATGTTTCTTGGTGAGTTACTCATAGAACACCCATAGATAAGTTTCACATCTTTTGAAGCTACAATTATTCTGTATCTCTAAATGTTAATATAGAAAGGTTTACGTAACATAATTGACTGTATATCTAGACTGAGTAATGATGATATGTGTGTAATGAGATTTTACAGAAATATTATTTTTTTTTAAAACGTGTATTTAGTCACGATAAAGAACTTTCTATGACTTTCTTCAGTTCTTTTCCTGCGGAGAAAACCAAAACTAGGAGGACTCGAATCTCGGTTTTCACTTCTGAAAATAACTTCGTTGAACGATGTGCCACCTTTCAAAAATAAAGCTTAAACAAATTTATATTATTAGCAAAATCTGTTGCTACAAGTGAATGAAAATGACACAGTGGTGTTACAAAAAATTTTTGTTATTGTAGTAATTATAAAATAGTGTATTAGACACGTGAACTGTGTTTTTATGGACTTCTCTTGACGTGGCTTGGTCTGAATACGATAGTCGTTTCAAACAAAACGGTGAGTCCATCATCATCTTAAGAAGTTTTACGATAAATTCATCATCCTCTTCGAGAAGCTTTACGTGTTCCCCAGTGGCACAGCGGTAAGTCCCCGGACTTATAACGCCAAAACCCGGTTTTGATACCCCTTGTGGGCACAGCACAGATAGCCCATTGTGTTTAACTACAAACAAAACACACAAACTCTACGTTGAATTCAACATGGTTTCAACACCGGATCAAGAAGGAAGAAGTCTGTAGAGCACAGTCCGTATGCAAATGAATATTACTGTCTAAATCTCTTATCAAACTCTGTCACGTGTAAACAACTCACATTTCGGCTCATTTATTAAATATATTGAAATTAAGAGCGATCTATTCGCAGTTACCTGAAAAATTAATGATTGGAAGCTTTCAGTTGGTCAACACACACACATATATTGTCCTAGATTTTCCACTTACATGTGATTGAGGTAACAAGGTGGAGCATGACAGTATTCACTAGTTCCTATTGGATTTCATTTAGTGTTATGACATTATTCGTCTTATAAAGTTACACTTTATAACTTGTCACAAAATGGTTTATTTCAGGCGGACAAGTTAATTCCTTCTATCATGATATGCCTCCACCTGAGGATGATCTTCCCCCTCCGCCACCGCCTCCGCCACAGACAGCGCCGTACTCATCTTCCAACAGTTATTCTTTCCCTCCACCACCCACTGAAGAGTTACCTCCCCCCCTCTCACCCACGAGCTCAACGTATGCTACGCAGTCAACTTACGCAACGTTCCGGCCTCAGTCTCCAGCGGTAAGGACATTCACAGTGCAATTTAGTAATGTTTATGCTATTAAATTGAATACCATTTCTATTTTATGTAACTTTCTTGATTGAACATTTATTAACACAGGATCTCTCCCTCAACCAGAGGCGAAGTAGTGATTTTTGGTGGCAGGGCAAGGAACAAAAAATTCCAGTGATTGTTTCTTAGAGGTATTGCATACACTGTTTGAAATTCCGGAACTTGCTGTATCCAAATATACAATGATACTATTACTATCACTAGTGGCCTTGTCAGTACCAAACCTACTTTTGAGTGCCGCCACATCAACTTTGGGCTTGATAAACGGATTTGCCTCAACAAGGGCTGTGAAAAAGTCCATTGTGATCGCATCCACAGAAGTTCCACAGTTTGCAAGTCGAACATCTTGGAATCTTGAATGTAATCGAGAGAATAATTGTGATTCATGATGGCATGACGAAGAGTAGCTATGTTCCAGTCACGGTCAGTGGGGCTTGGAACTATCTCTTGAATACCTGTTGGGCTCTGGTCTAAAACAGATGCAACGAAGAAGAAGAATGACCGGCAGAACCCGTCGGTTACACAGGAAGTACTGCCATTAACTATGGGGTTTCTCCTGATGATGTGGCCAGTCATAACTCAGTTACTTTTTTTATCATTTGTATATTGTAATTGTCATACCTCATCGTATCCTACATTCTATGTAAGTTTCACCAAAAATTGGACCAATCCCGGATTTTTTACGTCCGATTCCTGCTACTGAGGTGTCTTTGGTTGAGGGAGAGATCCTGTGTCAATAATTATAGTTTTGTGTGTGTGGTTTATCCGAACTATTTTGAAAATCATAGTTCTTTCACTTTTTTACCTTCACAAAAATCGTGCTGGGGACCCAAAAATATAACTTGTTATATATTTATATGAGGTAAATTTATAAAGTATTTTGATTTTTCAGACTACATCATCATGACAGGAATGGAAAGTATGATATTTATATTACAGTTTCTATGTGTTGGTTGCAGTTTGAATGATACTCTTACTACAATATTGATAGATAATGATTTGTCACTAAGGTCTATTAGTGCTGGATATTTTTCCTCCGCTTCTCTTTTTACCACTAGAGTACGTGTCTGAATAACTATCCCCATGCAGAAACGGTTATGTAAAGTAATTTTAGGCCAAGTTTTTCAAATGGTCAAATTGTTTATGGTTTTTGGTTTTTCTTCATTAAATTATATATATTTCTTATTTTGCTTCAAAATATGTTTTAAAATATGCACGTCCATTAACAGGGCGGGGAGGCCGAGGAAGTTTTTCTTGGGGCCCTGGATAAAGCATTATGTATCTGGTCGATCAATACCGGAACATTTAAGAAAATAAAACATTAACATAATCTCATTCAGTCAGGCTTCCCAAACTGCTATGTAGCCTTTCACAAACCCAGTCATCGACACAGAAGCAGAGTTGAAACCATTTAAAAATTATCTGTGTTCCTTCATTGTCTAATACAGAATGGCAGTTGCTTAGCTCGCGGGGTATAGATGTTATTATCCCCGTGGATAAAACTTGTTGATGTTCAGTTGATAATGATTTACAATAAACATGTTTTATAACACTCTCAAGTAAAAAGTATGGATATGGTGATAAACAAGAAACCACTTATAATCAATGAAAAGTGCATGTTAAATAAAAACAATTGCCCTTTCTGAAAGCAGTTAATTTGTATAAAAAAAAAGCAAAATTAGATAATGGTTGTAAACTTTTACTCCTGCAATCACGTTCCATCGTGCGTGAAGATATATCCTATAGGTTTAATGTGCTTAGGGATAGTGTCCTTACAACATTACCTCGCACTCTGAATTGTGCCATACAGATTTTGCTAGGAAAGGGAACTTTAATTGATACAAGTAATGATTTTATCTAATTTATGTTTAGTTAATCTCACCTGTGGAACAGAAGTGACAAAAAACATATAGATTAATATAAGTTAATGTACATCTAGAAAAGCTTGGTTTGTTTACAATACTGCAGATCTTGGACCAGATGTGGTAGCCGTGCGTAGAACATTTATGAATAGGCTGGAGACGGCTTAAATGGGTAATGAAGAAAAACTTTAATATAAGTTTAACATGACAGCAAATGTACAACGTTTCGACAAGGTTTTGTCATCATCAGGTACCCATTTAAGCCGTCTCCAGCCATTATTAGTCTCAAAGTGGGCTCCTCGTCATCGAATTTATGAATAGGGTTTTAAGGGCACCCTTCCGACTGCGTCCAAATACTCTCTACAGCAAGGTGCCCTTAATATAAAAAATGAGCCACGCAAAGCTGCATTCCATATTGACCATACTAACTTTCTAAATTCTGACCTCATTTTGTTTGGTGTATGCAGGACACTGGTGTTCGTGAGTTGCACGTTGCCATGACATGGAGCGTTGTCAACAGTAGGTCTCGGGGATGGATTAGCTGTGCCATTTTTTCTTTATTATTGGTCACAAAGTTTCAGAGTACTTCTCTTTAGTGTTTGAACTGCTAAACACTGTATTCTACAGTGTTTACAACGATAATTCCCCAGAGTAATAAGATTGCACTTTGAATCTGTGAAGACGTTTATTACAGTATATGGTTCGGAGATGATCCAGTAACATCGCAAGTGTTTGAATATTGGTCATCCTTCTGGGATGTTTGAATTTATCAATATACCATACAGGCATGCAAAGATAACTGCCCACTTTATCGAGTGCCCATATAGAGAACGAGACTGAAGACACTGCCCTCAATCCAGAATATTGAGGTGCCCGTTACTGCAAGATTTATTTTGGTTACAAATAGTAGGAAAAAAAAAGAAAGAGACTGAAAAGGTCTGCCCTTAATGGCGCCGTACCTGTTGTTTCGAGGTGCCCATTAATCGAGGTTCTACTCTATCTTTTTCACCATGTTATTATTATTTTGTCCAACGTTAAGTTACATAAAGTATAATTATAATTAAAAACATATTTTCACCTGGAAACTGATTGCTAGTTGTTGTTGTAACATCATATTTTTAATTATTATATTTGTATCTATGATACAGCTACTAAGGTAATCTGCTGCCGTCACTTGTTTGAAACTACTGATCAAAGGGAATGCAATTAGTCAGCACCAACCTACGACCCATGCTAAGAAATTGACTGTAACTCTTATAACGTACCCACAGCTTAAAGTACCGGCTATATTTGCCCGTTTTTTATTACAAAAGATAAACAAACAAAAAATTACGGGGGGGGGGGGATAAGAAAAAGGCACAACATATCGTACTGATAATGAAACAAATGTACTCATGTTGGTCAAAATTTACTGCAAGTTTCTGTATTAGATTCACGCACGTACTCAGGGGGTGGGGTGGCCGAACCCCCTATTTTTATGATGTAAAAAAATGCTTATGTAGTTATAGCGCAACTGCTTCTGGTATTTAACGTTGTCGATGCTTGTGGGTTTTATATGAATAGTCACGTAATTGTTTAAGCTATATTTCATGCAGAATTACTTCCAGATTTAATCTCATAGTACCTATTTTTTACAAGTTTTCTAGGGAGGTGCATGCAGGCCTCCCACTGAACACTTTAAAAGTGTAAAAACCTTTATTGCGGTTTTTGTCGTTTATTTATTTTTGTTTTTGCTCAAAACATGTCAATTATTTTAAACCCTGTGTATGTTTGAAGATAAACGTTTACTTTAAATGAAAACAATGTTGGCAAATTATCGATATCGTAATCATATTACCATAAATAACCAATACAGATGCATGGAAATATAGTGATTTGTTTAGCACATTAGATGTGCGGTAATAATTCAGACATCATTATCAGTATTGTCAGAACTTGGATGTTGAAATATCTGTATAGAAACACAAGGTGATTGATTTCTTCTATAATATATATTATATTATATAATATTATACAATATATTATATAAATTATATGTTAATTGTATTTGATTCTACATTTTAGTTTGTGAAACGACAACTTGCTTTATGTGTTTAGAAAAGAAGATATAAAAGCTTTATTTTTGCAGTGGTCCACTGGGATGCTTGAGTTTAACTTTCTACTTGACTTTTATAAACAAAGTGAACATATTTCATCATGCCATACAACAAAGTCAGCTTATCAGTATTCATAAGTTGCTTTCATCGTATGATTTCGTAATGAATACTTGTGGATGCCTCCCAGTGGCACAGCGGTATGTCTTCGGACTTACAGCGCTAGAATCCGTGTTTCGATACCCGTGGTG